TTACAAAGCTACCCAAAGCAGACAACCCTAGGTACTTTGGTCTATCTCTGGAGCAGCATGCTAGTGCCTACAAAGGCACTGATGAGCTGGGAAGTCCTAAGTAGTTGTTTATGACAGTATAGCATTTAGTATAGGATTTTACATAAAGAAAAGGTGAAGGGGTCTTTTTGCAGTTCAGAAACCATTCAATCACTAACATGTACAGCAGATACCTTTAAAAGCCTGGCTGCAAATTTACACAATGTACACGCTTAATTGAAATCTTTTCCTTCCCACAAGAATACAGTGATTTTTTGACACAATGATCACAGCTACTCATATGCTAGAAAACTCAAAAAATAATTTGATTCTATCTCAAAGCATATATTAAATGTCAGAAGAATATGCTGCTGTGCAAAGGATCTGGTGGCTTGCCACAATGGAAATGACTCAGCTAGCTTGTTTAAAGAATGATATTTTAATTGCTTTGTAGATCACAAACCTGCCAGCCTTGTAATTTACACTGCTGAAGAACAAGACGACATCTCTCCTTGGCAGACAACTTCTTCTTCTCTCCTGCTTCTGTATCAGCCAAATCTTTATACCTAGAAAAATCAGAAGTAGAGTTACTCTAATGTTGCCTGGTTGACTTCTTTGCAGAAATTGTCAGTTCTCCTTTGACTCTCAAATCTTTGGTATCTGAACCGGAAACATAGGGTTTTGCTAAGGGTGAATTAAACAAGAAGGCAAATCACTTTAAATCTTGTATATTATTAGACGTGACCTTGGTTAGTAACAGTATCGGACAAGTGATGCCTAAAATCCAGATTTGCTTCCTATCTGTTCTTTGGATGCCTCACTGCAAATCAGTGCAGAAAGAATGCAAAGCTTCACCAACTGATTTCATTGGTACTAAACTGGGTCACTGGAATGAGGAAAATATTTTTTCAGTATGTGTCATATGACATATGCCTAGTAAGGAGTAATTCGTAAGAAAGTGACATTGATGTTTTCCATCAGTCTGAAATAATTCTTTTCTTAATTTCAAACTGAAAGTCTTACAGCAAAGAAACTTTAAGGAACTTGATCTGTTTAGGTTGTTGGAAAGAAGATCAAGAGAAGGCTTGATTGCAGCATGGAGTACCTTCAGAGACAAAATGCTAGATATTAAAGAGTTCTTTGATGTAGGAGATGAACTAATGTAAGAAACTTCAGTCATACAAAGTCAAATACAGTATAAAATTCAAATTTCAACAGTGGACTTATAACAACATATTACTAAAGAAACTGATAGATTTTATACATCTTGATGATTCATATTATTACTACACTTTCCTGAAGGTATTCCTCAGTGTAGATCTGACTGCGTGTAATAAGCTGGAATGCTTTTTCATTATAAAAAGCCAGTTTTTAAAAGGAAAGATTTTGCAAATGTGTCACTTTTGATTAATCTCCCAGTGAAATAGGTGTACGTTTTGAAGTTTGCATGCTAACTGTATTTCCTGACATCTTTTTTATTTGGTTCTTTACAGCTGAATTCACCTGTAGCTCTGGTGCAGCTCAAAACTCTGCTGTCTTGGGACCACTCACACAGACCATAGCAGGCAAAGCTACAGGGTGGGAATGACTCCAGGGACATCAGTGGTCCCTGAAGCTGTAGCAACTCTGGAGCAACATCTGCAGGCAAAGTGCTCCAAGACCAGATTTAACCTAGACTTCTAGTTTTCTGGAGCTGCACAGACCTTTGGAAATCTCAGCTCCTGCAGTCTGGTCTCGTAGCAGACCTGCTGAGGATTCCATGACTACATCTACACTAGTAAATGAAATGTGGGAGGCATTATTTCTCTGGCATCTGGCAAAAACCCAGCCTATTTATTAAATATTCTGCTATGTTCTATTAAACTCTGTCACCTTCCAACAGAGCGTAGCCACAACTAAGCTGCCTTCTGGGCCTGGTCACTAGCCTGTCCTAATTCCCAAATTGTGCCCAGGAATTGTTTGGAGAAATGCTGGTTTGAAGATGCCAAAATTTCACCAGAGATCCTTTTAGTTAGTCTAACACTCTGTATTAGCAGTAGGAAACTGTGGAACCTATTTTCCCCATTGTTCAAATAGATGTATGGTCACGAAGACATTTGTTTTATAGACTGCTATTAAGGCTGAGGCCACCTTGTTTCCATGCCTGTATCAACTGAATTTTCTTAGAAATCATGGAGAATCAGAGGTGTTAGAGAGACAACTGCTGGCAAGCTTAGCAACTGCTGACTGAAACAAAGATGATTCAGTGCTGACTCACAATGCACGAAGAAGTAACTGAGAAAGTGGTCAGCCTGAAACTTGCTCACAACAGAAACCCAAAGAAACATGTTTCATTCCTGAAATAGATCCAAATTGAAATTTAAAATGTCAAATTCTAAGTTTGAATCAGATTTACTTTAGATCCATGAAAATCACAGGACTCAAGGATAACTATTCTTTACAATCTGTATTATACAGGAAGCCAGACAAAAATGATCCACTGTTTTTCCCCAGCTTTAAAAGTCTCGGAAATTCTACCATATAATCCTGGAAGTCTAATTAGAGTTCACAATTCCCTCTTATCCATTAAAGCAAACTCTATCTTAGAAAAGGAAGAAGGGTTAATGGTTGTAGTAGCAGGAAAAGAGCTACCTCTGGAAATTTAATTCTGCCACGAACTTCCTCTGTGAACATAGCAAGTCATTTGGAAGATGATCCAGCTTTCCCTATGACAGACACTGAAAAGCTACACTCCCAGTCTGAGTTAGTCATCTTGTTCTCAAGACAAGTCTGTGAAGATAGGTATTTCCATAGGGTGACTTGTTCTGTGCATCCCAGATACTTCTGTTAAAATGAGAAGAGATTGCCCTCTGGAGGTGCCTTTCTCTACTGACCATAGATAAAAGTCCAGGCTGGATGCTTGTTGCATTCTGAGTGGCTGAGAGGAAACTCATCTTTAGGTCTGCTTCTCTGGCTGACTTACTCACCTGCAGAGTAACTAACAGAGGGACTAAGAGAACTTCCTTATTTCTCCTATTTATCTCATTCAAATATACTGGCTATCTAAGAACCTAGGATGAAAAGGTACCTTTAAGCCTGGTGTCATTATCTGTTATCTCAGATCAACCATTTTTATCTTGTAATCTTTTATCTAAATAAAACTAACACAAAATTTGTAGCAATTTTTCAGCCAGAATGGTTCCCTGGCTTGATTCTTTGCGCAGATGTGCAAATACCAGCATTAACACCAGGGAAATAATAGGAATGGATAAGTGGGAATGAGCAGAACACACCTGTTGGTGGCAGCTCCAATATGTTCTGGACAAAAGTGGTGGTCTAATCATAAGTTTATTTGATTTATAAGCTTAATATGATCTTTTTTGTACTTGATTTTAAGTGAGATAAAATATTTAAAGTTTCTTCAGTATTTTTTCCTTTTGGGGAGATAACCACACACTACAGCTTTGGCTTAAGATTTTTTTGTATTTTAAACTTGCAATTACCTTCGGTAAAAAATTATGTTAAAAAGAAAGCAAATCAAAATTGACAATAAACTAACATATAAAGAAAGAAATAAAATCTTGTGAGACATTATTATAAAAATGAAAAATGACGTATCTTTAGTGTATTAGATCTCTTCTACTGTGAACTGAGTATGTGTTACCATGTAGACAATAATTTACTGTCCTCTTAAATTTAACCCTTTCATGGTCTCAAGAATAGCAAAAGAACGTACTATTTTCAAATCTACTGTATCACAGAAAACAGTTACAAAAATGCTGAATTTATGGTGCAGGCTTGTATAGGTAAACTTGAGTAACTTGCACACAACAGGGCATGCTTCTAGGGAAACGCAATCTAGAGAGTCTGAAACTTTCATTTATCAGAGAATTCTTCCTCTACCAGTGCAACCTTAGTTCCCTCTGAAATCAACGAATAAACTCAATTAAACACCAGGCTTCTTCTTACTGACGGGTCATACATTTTGCCCCAAGTGAATAATGCAGAGTGTATTTGTAAAGCTTTAGAGACGATTCTGAGGAAGCCAGTGAGCTACCTTACTAAAAAATGTCTTCAGGTGAAACACACTTCAGCTAAACTTGGATTGATGAGTTTGTTGTCTAGACTTTCTTAAAAGGTTGTAGGAGACACTGTTCAGGTGTCATATACCCTACTGTAATATTGATGCTTAAAATAGGTCAGATGAATTGTGCACTGTAAGATCTCCATTTGTTTCCACTGAGTATAAAGATAGTCTATGCTCTTGACTCTAGCATAGACATGTAACATTAAACAAAGTGAAACTCTCTCCTAGCTGTGTCAAGTAGCTGATAAAAAGCAGTATTTCATGGCCTAGCCAGAGGAACTCATTCACTAAGGCATCCAAACCAAAATACAAACCAGGGAGATTTAAAGAATTAAATTGAATCAGCACTCCTCCACCACCATGTCAAGACTAATGTAGTGTTGATTAAGACATAAATGCAAGACCTCTTCTAGTTACAAGCTGAGACAGGGAACACTACCATCGGGGGGGGAGCTCTCCCCACTGCCCCTCCACAGGAAATCAGTGTGAGAGAAGCTCCATTTTCCGAAGCTTTGTCCTTAGCACCCTCCTTGTCCTAACTTGTCATTTTTGCATTCTAAGCAGAAGAAAGACCTTTTGGCTAGATAGGCTAGCACAGTGAACATGTACAGACTGGCCAGCATCATTTGATGTTGCAGCAGCTGTGTTCTGACCTCTCTTCCTTTGCTTCTGAATGATGCTCTTTATCAGGGAGATTTTTTGTTTGTTTGGACTAGATACTGCTGCCAATACCTTCAGGTAGGTTGTGAATATGGAAAACTCAGTTCTCTTGAGTCTTCACAGATAAGGATGTTATCTGATAATTTTCTCCCTCACTTCCCTAAGTGCACAGCTGACAAGATCCAGCAGGCTGTTTTTCCTGAGACAGAATATTCTCCAGCTCAGGTTATGGCACGGTAACCCACAGTAATATTCTAAGGCTCAGCACGCTATTTGATTTACACAGAATGTGCATAAATAGGCTTCAGGGCTGTACTCCCAGTTCTGTATGCACAGCAAATCTTTAAGCATTGGAAAAAACACCATGCACTACATTTCAATAGCACATGAACATGTAAAGAAGATACTGATGGAAGGAACAGGGCAAGTATGAAGGGCACAAAAAGAAGCAGCTCCAAATCAACATCTTAAGCAAACAACATAGATGAAACTGAAGCCTCAGAACTGGTTTTTTTTTCATTTGTTTGTTTGTTTTCTGCTATTCTTTTTCTCAGGTCTCTCTCTTGCCTAGCTAAGAGAGACCAAAAATGATGAAGTCAGAGGTAGCTACTGACTTGCAATCCAACATAAGAGGACAGCTTCTAACACCAGAATTCAAACCTTTCCTGAAAGCAACTCCTTCCCAACACTTTGTCTTGTTATTTAAAAAATAAAAATCACATACAGCTGGCATGTAACTGCTTTATAGGAGTACCAAGTAACATAGTTTTCAGTTTTAACTATCTATCTAAACACAACTTATGAAAGGAAAAATAATCAGTCCTTAGAGTGTAATTGATT